AATATTCATTTTATCAAGCCAACTAGCTTAAGAAATTCTTTGTTAGCCGCTCGATTACTTGCGTAAAAAAATTGGTAGCTTACTTACTCGAGAGGAGCACTTCAAATATTTTAAATGTTATGTATAGCCATTAAAATAAGAAAGAAATTGCTTATGTTATTACAATAATATTTTAGAGGTGTTGAAATCACAAGTACAAGCCATTTTAGCGACTCTGTAAAACATTGGGTTTAGTAAAAAAAAATAAGATCGATAAGTGTGTGATTATTCATTATATCCCTAAACTTAATGAATTACCTGATATATTTATCCATATTATAAAACGATTTATATTTAAAAACATAGTAAAAATATTAAGTGAAACCTGATGAAGAATTCACGGATAGCGCAATTAATCGCATTTTTTAGTTACAATCTAGACTGTTATTACATAAAAACTTGATTACGTAGACCAAAAATATAGCCACCTTCAAACAATTAAATGGTTATCTATAAATTCATGTCGTAATTTACAAATTAAAAGCATGTGGCGTATTTTCAGCCAATTCGCAATGCCTAATTAAATTGTTAAATCTGGAAATACATTTCACGACGCAATTAATTACACCTATACAATAAACGGGCTAAGTCCTGAAGTTTTCAAAACATTAGGAAACTTGTAAATTATGTTATATTTACAATTAATACAAAATAAAATAAATCTGGCTAAATATGTTCTCAAAAACGATGAGATTGATTGCTTGGGGAACGAATCGTAAAGATGGCGGCCGACTTTAGCTAGGGTTGGCACAACATCGACTAACTGACCTCATACCATAGATAGTCCAAACAACCCTTTTACTGCAACACAAAGAGGCATTAAATGTCGGCAACGTTTCCCCCACAGTAGTATGCCATATGTCATGAAATGAAATGAATGATTTTTATTCAATAAATCTATATTGTATAATACTTATTGAAAGTCATTTTTTTATTTACTACTGGTTCCCAAAAAAAACCTCTGTCCTGGGAAGAACCAGCGAGAAACCCAGCGGGACTTTTTTTAAACATATTTTAATTAACAATAAATTTATTTTGTGTAATTTTTGTATGATTTTTTATAGAAACAGCTTGGCGGCGATCACATCATTCCCGGCGGTTATTCTCATTTATCTATTTATTTATATTATAATAACGCTTTTTGTACAATTTTTCTTTTATAAAACATTTAAACTTATTTAGTGACAAATTTTTACATTTTCTGGGACTTTATTGTAAAAGCGTATACATTTCCCCATAAATGAATTACTAATTCTGTGGAGTCTAGTAACTGGTATTACAAGCTTATCATTGCTCTCACATGCTTTTTCAGGGCCTCGACCTGTACCTTGGCCTCGACCTAGTTTTTTATCTCGTCCTCTACCTCGCCCTTTTTCATTATTACATTTACCTTGTCCGCTATATTAAAAAACATTGAAAATAAATTAAAGAACCGTAATTGTAATAAACTCTTCAGCTGTCACCATCACCTAAATGAAAGTTTCACTTTTTCTCCACCTATCACTGTGCCGCTGCTATTCGAAAAATTTTGGTTACGAAAAAAGTTACAGTAAGTGTAACTTACACCAAATTTTTACAACAAATATTGTGGTGTAAGTTACACTTACACCACAATATTTGTTGCAAAAAACAGAAAATAAATTTCATGCTCAAAAATCCAGCAAGCGCCAACCCTAAGGCAAAACACTTGAATTGATTCTTACAACCAGAGTGGCAAAAGTAATTCGACAAGGTAAATGCTTTTATATCGCTCCTCGCCCGGATTTTCGCTTTCATCGCATTTTTGACTATCCATGAGGTAATTTTTTCTCCTTTCCTAGCATCTTATGATTTCAACCTCCTTAGCCATATTCAAAAGTTCTAAATCCGCTTTTTGTCGAGCGCCCGAATCTTTGTAAGTGTAAGCAATATTATGGAGCATGCATGGAGCATGCACGCTTCATCCAATTTGTTTATCCCACGATCGCCTTTGAGTAACGGTTTTTGAAGTTTCGTTCTGGCGCCGCAAAATTAATAGCCGGTTAAATGTAACTCAAACGGTAAATTGTTTATCCACTAGCACGTCCGTGGAGAGTGTAGTAGCCAAACAAAATATGCCGTCGTCCGTCAGGCATAGCATACTATCCAAAACAACACGTTGTAAATATTGCCTAGTTTAAAAACGTCGAAATAAATGAACGTTGTGCTTGACAAAAATGATTATCTATGAAATACTTCACTAAAAATAACAGAAGAGGGCAGTGTTTAGTGTTTGGGTGCAAAGAATTAAAGAAAGTGTTTCCGAGCACCAGCGATTATGTCGTATTTCATATTTTTTTTACTTAATTGTTAGATTATTGTACATCAAAATGAACTTTAGAATTTGTACTTTGTGATAACACTTACGCTTACTCATAGGCGATAAAGTTTCACGTACGTACGTAATAAATCGGCTCTAATTTGAACTTTAAAATATTGTTGTTACCAAAACAATGACGTCTTTGTAATTCACAATCGCTAGTCGTCTTGTTTATGATTGATTTACGTGTTATTTAGTGAAGCAATAGTGATTAAATTTCTAATAAAAATACTCATACACATTTTTAGTTAAAATATATTAAAATGTCAAAGGATTCACAATTAATATCAATGTGTTTCTCAGATTTTTTCGTATGGCTAGTGCGAAATCCAGGGACGCTACAACAAAAGTTATAAATAAGTGTCTCTAAAAACGAGGAAGTGTGTTTTGAATATTTAATACTGCTTGATGTTATCACGTGTTTCTTATATTCTTTATTCACAGCCTAATTTCTTCTTTTCTCAGGAGTTTACAGTCCTTTTAATCTTGTTAATTTCAAATCAAAATCACCTGCGTCTGTTCTTTCTAAAGCGTCACTGAGAATATCAGAGAATTCAGATAGTCGTAAACGCTTATGAACATGATGACCAGACAGTAGCCGTCTTATCGGCTTCTGTAATGAAATAGTACTGCGTAATCCTCCTGTAGGCAGCTTAATATATTTAATGTCTTTTATGATGCCAGATTCATGCAATTCTTCGATTATTGCATAAATTTCATTGTAAACCCCTATGTTACCAGCTGCCAATGATCCAAGTAGTAATTTTAATCGTTCCACTAACTCGTTTGGATCGTTCCAGTAAACCAAATCAGTATCTTTTTTAACTTCTTTTAAAATATCAACTCCTTCTCCCTTTGAGATACTTTCTGCACTACGTTTATGATTTCTCGAGTGCTTAAACAATGGTTTGATCACTTGCATATATTTAAATCCTTTGTTACTGTTAATCGGTTTAGATGGATCATAACTACGTTTGTGTTCATTAGTGTCTAAAAGAAACAATTTATAATTTTGTAAGTCTTCCTCTGTCACAATATCTAAATTTGGTAGCTTTTTGAACAATTACTCTTTTAAGCCTGGAGTTTTTTCAAACTATGATTTCCAATTTTCAAGATGTGATCATCATCATAGACACGAAATGTGCCGAGCATTATTTTCCCATGTTCATTTCTGACACCATAAGGCACATCTCTTAGTAATTCAGATGATATAGACCATGATAATGAATCATTTGCAATACTTGGTGTTGATTGATGTGATTTAAACGAAATTTCATTAGCGTCATTATCATCTGCAGGAAGCGAGTGAGTGAGGGTTTTGTCGGATGTTGTATAAACATCGTTATCTGAGTTTTCTTCATTATTAGCAGGATCTTCACACACATTACTTGAAGAAATCTATGACTCACTCGTGCTGTACTTAGGTTTCTTAATAAGGTGAGCTTGGTCTGTATTTTCATTTAAATGCTGCTTTTCTTTAGTTTTTCTATTAATGATCAACGATAGGCTTAAATATTGTTTCCAAAGCCAGATTGTTTGTATTTTTTGCATCTTTTATCATTTCTACCTTTCTTTTTACAGCTCCAGCAGATTTTACAATTTGTCTCTTGAGGTCTCACTCCGTTGTAAAAGAATTGTACTATGTTTGACTACTTAGCAAAAACTGATTGCTTTGTGACATAGCAGCTATTTAAACGTTTAGTCTACTAGTATGAATGTATCAAACTTCTTTCTCTAACAGCCTTTATTTCGTTCACAGTCTTTATTTATAATAACATAATTGAAAGGTTTACACCACACTATTGAACACATTTCCCAGAACTGAGACCATGTCATGTCAGACCCTACATGCTCGTCATAAATGTGTCTCAGATTTACGTCATCTTGTTTAAACAATATGATCGGGTTAGCGTTATCTCTAACTAGTTGTTAGGTATCTTAGTATACGTTTGATTTATATAAAAACAGTTAATGTTCTTATGTCGACCCATGGCGAAATAATCGCGTATATTGTTCTGATTTTCACAAGCTACATCGTAAAATGCCTAAACTTTTTTAAATTTAAATTTGTCAAACAGTGTTGCCTGACGGCTGAAACGGCGCGGTGATTCCCCCATCAAAGACTATTTATACTTGGTCTGATTTTCTCTATGTCTATGGTTTGCATTTGATGTTCGGATACACGAATCAAAGAGAATATAATCACTGCGTTCAACACCAATAATAAAACGCAAATGAGTCGAAAAGTAATCGATATTAGTAAAAAGAAAGCGATGTTTATCGGTTATTTAAAAAACCGGTTTTATTTAGGTTTTTTCTAAAAACCGATTCTATCACTAATGACAGCTCTAAGATGACAGCCGTAGACAGAGAAACCTATAGACAAATTGACGCCTTCTTTTGCATTCGCACACGAAAAAGATAGATTTATGCATACGTCTTGCATAGAAATGAGACATAGCGGTGTGATTGTTTATCCCTTTCTCCGTGCCGATTTTTTTGTTTAGCAAACTACACTTTCCTAAACAACTTTGACAGTTCATAGCGATCTAAGGAGTTTACAAGTTGATTTAAGTGAGAAAAAAGTGTTTTGTGAGCTTAATATTGGTGAATCTTGTCCAGTTCAGTTCCTAGAATAATTAAAATTTTTATCTAAATATGTTTAAGTTATAAAGATTATTGTATAACCTAAAACTACGTTATCGTCCTTTCTCACTCGAGGCCACGCTAATCATTAGTCTATAGTAGGCATGTCGATCTAAAATCGATTAATTGAAAAATCGATTCTTTGGTGTAAAATAATCGCATCGCATCGATTCACTGAATCGATCCAAAACCTCTCGATTCATCCGATTCAAGAACTAGCGATAAAATTCCCAAACTGGCTGGGGTAAGACACCGCAGTTTTTTAATTTTTTGCTGTTGGGGGACGCAAAAACAACCGGTCGTACTTAGTTGATAATTTGAACGCAATATTTATTTAAATAAAATAAATATTTATGAACGCATCCAACAATATCGTAAAGTTGTAATTTCATTCTAATTCTAATCTTGCCTGTGGTGGTCTAACTTAATCTGTGCTGTGAACAAAGGCTACATATACATACTAGAGTATAAAATTATAGCTGTGAACTTGTTTGAACTGTGAATTTGTTTGAACTGTGAACTTGTAAATTTACTTTATTTATTATCAAAAACATACATACTGTGAGTTGTAAGTACAGACAGTAAGGAAATAACCAGTATTGTGTTTGTGTAGCATTCATTTCAATTTGATAAATAATGAGTTATTGCAGTTTCCACTTTTGTTAAAGTATTGTTGTAGTTTTTAGCCTAAAATGTCAAATAAAAGTGATACACGGAATCACTTTGTAAAAAAAAGGATTGAGTGGCGTATGTGCGAACCACACCTAACACAAGCGTTTCTCGCTTACCAGGAGTGGTTAAAAGGAATATTAGTAATGTTAATTAAAAAGATTACTAATATTTTATTTTAAAAAAATATTAAAGTTCAATTAATGAAAAAATCGCAAATTCTTGAAATTTCACGTTTGAAAATGTCGCGATTAATCGAAAATCGATCTTTTAATCCTCGATTTAATCGATAATCGATTCTAGTATCTTCGATTCAAATCGATTCAGAGATCGATTTTTTAAAAATGAATCGCATGCCTAGGCTATAGGCTGTGTCTATAGGTTTCTCTGTCTACGACGACAGCGGACAGCGCATAAAATACGAATTTTACGAACCACAGAGTACCTTTGTATAAACCAACCACTGACAGTACAAGTGTATTATATCTCTATGGTATAAACTGAAATGTTACGAACTTTGAGCATAGAAAATAGAGGAGATGGCAAGCCTACAAAAAAATCGTGTCAAATTGAGACAATAAATGGCGGACGCTGTAAGCTCCGCCCATTTTTTAGTGATGTGAACTCAATCAACTTTTAAAATTTAGTAACACCTTTATGTATTTAATTTATTTTTAATATGCAAAATTATATTTTCTCTAACGATTAGGGAGGCTAGGGGAATTTCGTGTGAATTTAACCGCCAGATGATTGCTGCTCCAGTTTTATCGTTTAAATAATAGTTTGAAGACGATTTTGATACTTAAAGCACGGATAGCAACTCGTGCTTGTAAGGTGTAAGTTAACAAGCTAGTTGCTCTGACTTCATATTATACAGAATAAGCTTTACTTCTGGGCTAATAAGTTACTATCTAAAGCCAGGATGGTTAAACAGGATGGAGTTCTCTTTTAGAGCTAGTAGCACCCCCCCACCAGTTGCTTGTGCACCAGTTTCGTGTGGCCGTTTAAACTAATATCTCTTGAAGTAAAAACTACCTACTTTAGAATCGCTGTGATTTGAATATTATTATACTTTACGATGCACTTGTGGTTACAAATTATCATAACAAATAAATTATTTGCCGTGAAATATTTTTTATTTTATATCCACCCCGGCTTAGCATGGGTGATTTCTGGATTTTGGCAACAAAATCAAGAAAGACCAAGTGAAGTAGATACAAAATAATAAAAATCTGCGGATGCTAAACCGCCTGCCAAGCGTGGTAGCTGTGGCAAAATGCCCTATGAGGTAATCCCAATCTATAGTAGAGACCTAGGTGCAGCAATGAACTTTTAGAATGTAATGGATGGATGGATGGAGTAGGAAAATAAATAAATTTTTGTTAGCAATAGAAAGTAGTTTAATAACGTAATATTTTTATAAAATACTTATCTTGTTTGTAAAATAATATATATATATATAATAATAATAAATACTCTCATATCCAAATATAAATCTTAAAAAAAAACTCCAAAACAAAAAAAATGTAAAATGGCTGTAGTTAGGGATGACAAAACGTTTTGCTTCTGCTTCGGATTTTATCCAAGTTTCGGTTAAAAATAATGATGGCAGCAAAGATGTTTTGACCTATAAAACATCTTTGTATGGCAGTATTTTTTAAACATTTTTAGTATGCATTGTAACTCGTGAAACTTTCCTGGTGTGACAATGCTGCGTATGTTAGCATAGTATATTTTTAATGATTTCTTATATGAGACAATGTGTTCGTAGTCGTCAAGTAGTTGGTAAGTGTTTACTTTGTTATCTTCTCCTGTAATTTTACTACAATTTCCTAGTTTTCGTGTTTTATTATTTAACTCTTGAGTAAGCTCCTTTAAGTATAATTTTAGTTGCGGTGTTTGGTCTGAATATAATATTATGTTATCATCATTCAGCTTTGTCTTATTCTTCAATATGTATTTAACGATATCTTGGGATTCAAAGAAAATTTTGATTGAACGATGTTTACCAGATGTATACTTACAAAGTTGTACGATTTTTTCGGTAAAGGACAAGTTGCATCTATTTTTTTAATATACTTATTAATACCCTCACCTTTGTCAAACTCTATTGTATGTTCTTTATCGAATTTTTCATAATTAATGTGTTTAAAATATTTTCTTTTATTCATTTCTAAACAAGATCGTTTTAGTAAGATGATTGCGGAGACTAACTTTTTCTGTAGCACATTTACCAAAATATTTATATCGAATATTTACATAATATTTAATTATACTCTTAACTAATAACTCTCTATGTTCAGTGTCATGTTGTACATCAAGAGATAAAACATTTTCTTCCTGAAAATGTTCCATCAGAAATAAGTACACATATAAAAAATAATTTTCACTTTTAACATTTTTATGAAGGTGTAACTTTAAAATTTTTTCTGCTCTTATTAAAATACTTTTAACGCCTTCGGAAGGAAAAACTAATCCGCCTCTGGTCTTGCAGAAAACAATTCCTTTCTTATTTACACAGCCTTGAATTAAATTTAGACACTGTTCACATTTTAGACGCCTATTTAATTTTCTAACAATAAACCCTCCAATATATTCTATTACATTTTCTGTATATTCGTTTAAATTTGTTAAAGATAAACATTCTAAATACTGATCATACAAATCACTCTCATTTTCGGGAATATTTACAAGTAAATTTCGGTCCGTGAGGCTGTTTATGTTATCAATCGGATCTATTTTACTGGAGCAAGTTAGTATGTTAATTTGGTTTAACGCAACACAATTTCCTACCCCATGCTCTCGAATTTCTGCTCTTATTAATAATCTTTTATATGCTGACCTAAATTGCAATGCGTTAGGATTGTTGTTAAAACCTCCTCGGCTTCTAATAGCGGAGAAAAATAATTCCAAATGGTCTTGGCTGATCTTATATAATGGCAAGTATTGCAAAAACATTTTTTCATGTACTAATCTTTTATACAGATTTAGTGTGCTATGAATATTAATAATTAGCCCAATAAATCCAGTTCTACGTCGGGACATTACTAAAAGTTCTCCTGAAAAAAGATGCAGCCCATTGATATAATCTAAGGCACTCAAGAGGAATTCTGTTACTAGTCCTATATTTGACGAACAAATTGCCTTTTTCCAACCTGGAGGACGAATGGACCTACTGTTAAAAATATCAAATAAGTCGTTCATTATTCTAATAAAATTGGCTGTACCAGAGCTCCCTTGGAAATCTTTTAATTTCAAATTGAATTCACAAAAATTCAGGGCGTCTGCAACAGAAGTGCTTAATAATTGGGTGGCTAATTTAACTTTCATTTTTTGTTTAGAAAATTCTATGTGTCCTTTTCTTATTTTTGTTCCCAAATATAAATTTTCTTTTTCCTGCAAATTGTGAAGATTTTCTACATACCTAAAGTCTATGTTTCTTTTTTGAACATCTTTAAAGACCTTTAATTCCCCCAAAGGAATTTCTAACTAATTTTATAGCATGGCAGGGATCCAAAAAGACCTCTATTGTGGAATTGCTGTAATGAAACCATGTTACTTTTGGGTTTTTTGTTATTCCTTTGCATCCTAACGACTCTAGCATGCTAAAATTTGTAGCTAGCCCATCACAAGTTAAAGATACAATAATGACCCCTGTCTCTTCTGTTAACTGGATACATGTTTCTATAAGTTTTGCTTTTTGATTACCATTTAAGCTTGATATTAGAAAATAGCCAACAGGAAGTTTCCAGGACTGGTTTATAGCTGTTAACATTAGAACTAAAGATTGTCCAGCTTCTTCTAAAGAGTCACTGTCCAAAAGAGTTCCTGTATCCACACGACCATAAAACTTCATTTTTGTAGCATCCCAAGTTAACGATTTTCTTATGCTCATTTCATCTATAGTTAGCGCACAAAGTATTGGTCCAGTAGTTGCAGATGCTTTGAGTTTTAAGGTTTTAAAAGCTTCTAAGGTAAAGCCGGGCTCTGCGTCAACATGTTGATACCACTTAGCTATTGTGCGACTGTGTGGCAAACAGGTATTGTAGGTCCGTCGTACAAAGTTGTATGCTTTAGGCGAAAGAAAATGTAATGTGAGAGCAAATTTTCTAATTTCTTGAGAGTACTGATTAGGTAATGGCAAACCTTTTAATTTCTTTATTTGTCTTGTTAAAAAGTCCTTCGGTCCTGCACAATCTTCTAATAAAATAGTATTTTCAGTATTTAATATATGTTTAGATTGAAGATCTTTCAAAATTTGAGAAAAATTGGCAATTTTCTTAGATTGTCTTCTACACTTTTCATTCAGCCTTTTAATTTTATTCTTCTGTTTCGTCACTTTTTCTTTTAATTTAGTAACTAAAGTTGTGCTAATCTGAAAATTATGAAAAAAGATAATTTAACTCAGTTTCATGTGATAAATTTGAACTGAATAACTTCAAAACTTAAGACGAGAACATTTGCACACCGAATAGACTCGTGTTCGCGTCGAATAAAATGCCAAGCATGTCAGCTATACCAAATAATCCGGTTATTCCGTTTATGCACCCTAAGGTGGATAGTGGATACTCGGAAACGCTTGTTTATCTATTCACCCCATGACGGGGCTCAACAGGTTCAACAATGAATATACTCATAAACTTTTTATTAGTTAAAAATTTTAAAAACTTATATCCTGGATAAATTCGTCTCTTTTAATGTACATTTGCAATCGTTTTCAAAATTTTTTTTTCGTTTACTTTTGAAGATAGTAAGTGACATAAGCAATATTTTTTAAGAAAAGAAAAAATGGCACTTTTGAACCATTTTGGAATCTTGACTAAACAGGCCGTCTTTTAAAATTACTTGTCCAGGTTACTGTAGTACTACTTTCTTTAAAACGGTGTGTCAAAATTAGGAGACATAATTCTTTTACCTTAACTCAAACAAACTAATATTATTTTCACAAAACTAAAGACTTTTGTTGTTTGAATTGTGACTTTATAGTAGGAGGGCTAATAAGGATTACAATATTGTAAAAATCACTATTAAATTGCGAAACTTTCTGACCATAGTATCTAAAGATGTGATCTACAGGGATGATTTTTAACATTTTCAAAAATATGTCTATTATCACTACTATGAGACATGGATTTTTTCTTATTTGTAAACAGTTATGCGTTGGCCTATCGCCCAGTATCCGCTCGACATTGAGTTTCAGTACACCTATATATAAACAATCTCTAACTTATATAAATATTAACACCTATATAAAAGGATAACTGAATCTTACTGGTAATCTGTAAGGTCCTGGTGTCAGATTGTGTTTGAAAGCAGAATCCACTTTCAGGGGTACTACTTGAGCCTAAAAGTATGAAAGTTAAAAATAATTTGAATACACAACCATTTTAAATAAAAAGTATTTTAGACTGTAGCTTCTTAGAACAAAACTAATAAAAAAATCAATTTAATATATTAATTTGATACTCTAGAACACCGGCAACTAATAAATAAGTTGGATCACTGTAGAGTTCGTGGCCCGCTGCTGTGATAGGCTACCTCAAAAATAGGATATACATTAAAAATTGAAAATTCATTAAGTGAACCCTTAGAAGTGACGGTAAGCACCGCTCAAGGATCAGTTTTGGGGCCCTTACACTTTTTAACTTATGTTAATAATTTGAATAACTGCCTTATTTACTCTGCAGTTGTAGTTTGCAGATGACACATGCCTTTTAGCAATGTATAGGATTTTGATTTTAATAATGTATAGGATCCACAAAAGCCTCTGAACTTCTGCAGTCTGATGTAGATTCTCTATTAAGATGGTGCCACTGTAGTACTAAATACCAAAAAAAAATAACTGTTATCGCCATCCTGCCAAAAACATAGTTGCACAAAACCATAACTGCTTGCACGGCCTGACTACTACATGTGACTGCCCTCTCATAGAAACTGTGGACACCCAGACATATCTCGGTCTTGTTATAGATAACAAATTCAATTGTAACTATCATCTATACATATAATAAATTTGTATAAAAGTCGTGTCTGTAATTCTAATATTTTCTGGAAAAAACAATTCCCGGGGACTAAATAAAGGGCACTGAGTCCAAATTAGTGGTTTTTAGAAGTTTTGACTGTCTGTCTGTCTGTGTATTATCGTTTCACGCAAAAACTACTCGACAGATTTCCATGAAATTGTGTGTAGATAGTTAGGGACCCGGGGCAACTTATAGGCTACTTTTTATCCGATTACAGATCATCAAAAAAAAGAGGGTTAAGTATTTTCCTTCCTCAAGATGTTAATTTCTATTTTATATTCTTGAGTGAGGGAATAGAGAGTGCACCTGTGCTTGCGCATACACTTGAGCACTATAATCCTGTCCTGCGCCGATGGCTAGTCTCCGTTGAGACTGGCCGCCGTGGCCGAAATTCGGTCTGGAGGACATTATTATTATTTATATTCTTGATTATTGACGTTTTTTTTAAATAAATAACATATTTATAAATAAAGCCTAAAATGAGTTTTAACCGTTGCGTTATAATTTTAACTACGGCGACAATCTAAATTTCACTTTATCAAAACAGTGCCATCTAACGTGAAATCCAAAAAGTAGTATTTTAGTATTTTACCTCCAGTTGCTAATGAATAAAATAAAATATATAACATACATTTATATGTTTAATAATTTAATTCATAATTATTTGAAAATTCGAACGTTCATTTTTCAGTTCTTTTCTTATTTCATTTTAGTAGGAATTAACAAAGTTTATAGTAACTAATTACTACTTAAATAGTAGATAATAGTGACATCTATCGAAATTTATAAAATGTGAGATGTTTCTAAGTTTAATTTCTAACCTATAAAAAAGTTTTGATTATCTATAAATAAACTGATAAAACTGTAATTATTGCAAAACTCTTACTATCCATATAGTTTAAATAAAGAGATTTTTATATATTTATTAGCCTGATATTAGAATTAATAATATCATAAAGTAGTTAATTATAGCACGAAATGGTGGCATTTAATTAAATTTAACATTGTTTTTTGATTATATCATGATATAGCCTGACCAAATCAACGAATAGAGATCGTTTGGCGATATTAACAACTAAACACAACATTGCTATTTCTTCATATTGTTATATCGTAAAATAATTTCATTACACATCGCTAGCAGCGCTGATAGCGTATTTTTGACAGAAGCAGAATTTTTAATAGAATATAATTTATTCCTAATGTATGTATTATATTTATATAAATGTTGGCGGCTTTGTTCTGTGAGACGGCACCCCACTCGCACCTTAACTTATTGTCGCTGTACAGTTTTTGTTTTTATAGTTTTAATCTCATAATACCGTCACCTACCTACTGGTAAATAAACTAATAATAATTCTATTGAATACTTTTTTTCTTCCAGCATCAAAAATTGTCAGACTTAAAATATCTAAACCAGTGTCGGGATGATTTATCGTTATTGTCAAAATAACTAACAGAACTGTGTACAAAAAATTGTGATTATGACAGAATGTCTTTAGTTGAATATGTTGGGTGTCTATCAGCATAGCAATATTTCACCAACTTCTTTTTGTATCAAAACCGATGTAAGTAATTGAAAATTAAGTGGATTTTAAGATTTTCATATCTAAATGATGGAATAGTTTGATTGACTAATTACAATGTAGATGTGGTCAACAATAGTGCAAAAGCTTATTTTCAGTGTTTATGAGTTTGCTTAAGCAAATACGAGAGCTGTGTAGCCCGCCGTAAGATTTCAAAGCACAGGAACAAAAGAGTTCGATTCCCGCGAGGCCCAATGAAACTACTTGTTACGGACGGCGAGTGGAGCCGCCGCCCCGTCGCCCCTTCGTACCTCGTTGCGCCCCGCGCGAGTTTTGAGCCTTGGCGAGTGGGTTGGCATCCGCAGCTTTTTATTACCCTGCACTGTTATCAGGAAGATGCTGCCATCCATCTCCTGTTTCAGTTTCCCTTCTGTCGCCTCTTACGACACCCACGAGACGAAATGAGGTATTGGTTTCCATTTCGCCGCCTCTACATTGCTAATACTTATATTTCTACTCCCGTTCATGAATATAGTCCCTGTCACACGTTCATCGTGAATAGAACTAGATTTATGAAATTTTAACTTTAATTGAAGTAGTTTTAAAGATATTTCTAAATTGAAGCCAACGCGAGCGAAGCCGCGGGTAAAAAGTAGTTTAGAATATGTTTGTAATATGCTAAGGCAATTTGTAGCTAATATTACAATTCTTAAGAACTGCATACCCTACAAAGTTAAGTTAATGCTATATAACTCATTAGCTGAATCTTTTATACAATACTCAAGTAAAAAGTTATTAGACAGGCACCTACTTAATTGCTTTGTTTGTAAACACATAGATAAGTATCATAGACTTATACTATTAAGTATTACGTAAGTACCAAATTTTTTTACCTGATTACTACCCTGCTCTTGAGAATTAACACTCTTTAGAATATTTCCTTTATTTGATAACTGGGCCTGAAAAATAATAAATTTAATATATGCTCATATTTTATTACTTTATAAATCATAGTTCTTAGTATGTTCTTGTAGTTCTCATATATTGTTTGACTTACAGCTTTGTATTGAAAATAATCAGATTTACTCGAATCCATATTGTTATTTTTAATTATGAATGAATGAATTTATTTTCTCTTCACAATAGGTAAACTTAATGCTAAGTATTACAAATTTGCCAGACTGGTACCTAACTTGTGAGAAACTGGTGCCTGATGTAGATATAAAAACCTGTATTACAGGTTTATCTTATTTAAAAAATTTTAATTATCTTAAAACATAATCATCATACTTGATGCATATTTTACATTGAACACTTAAGCAGTCGCTAATGGGTCTAATGGACCCAGTACTTAATATTTTGCTTAATAACTATTCAAAATCGACGTTTGCAATGTTTCAGCTCTTAGTACCTTTCAACAATAGTGTAGCATGGCAAATAACGACATTGGTAGTCAGTTAGTTTAAAAAGTGTCACTAGAATGTTGGAAAGTGTGATTTTCGTTCAAAGAAGATATTGTATTTTTGAATTTTATATTAAATATTTCTATGAAGATTGATCCCTCTTTATTTCTTGTAAGTAAATACATTATTGTGTAAGAAAATATATTAGATTTTGTTGGAAATAAGTAATTTGTTTGAAATTATAACGATTAGCCTTTTTTAACATGTCACAAAACTCTAGAGAAATTTAGTATATTTTTGAAACAACTTTTGTTTAAGTAAAAACAATAAATATTAGTATTTGTTTCAATTATAGTTTTCTTTACACATATCATATCCTTATTAGAAAGTAACTATTTACGTTTATAAAGCAGTTTTGGAATAAACTTATATTATACTGGGTCCGGTGGACCTAGTAGCGAGTACTTGTGCTACAAATTAGGACATGACTCCCTAAGTGAATTTTCATGCACTGGGCCTATGCCTTATTTTGTTAAGAGTAATTGCAAGTTAACAATCTTAATTTCCAAATTTCGCAAAAAGTTTAAATGAATTCCACAAATACAATGTTTTAATCATAAATGTTTATAAAAATATTTTTTAATATGTAACAGTTTCCCTGTCTACAAAACACACAATAGTTAAACAATTGAAATGTTCATATATGATTCATAGGGCAGGGAAAGAGATGATAAAAAATATATGTAGTTTTTTTTATAAATATAAAGTAAATATCTATATTTTGGAAACTAACTAATATTATTTATGTCAAAATATGCATAATCAGTAATGTTAAGCATCAGTAATCACTTCTTCTAAAAGAACTACTAATCATATTTGCATAACAAACATTGCTTGTTGTACAAGTGTAACAAAACTAGAAACTTACAGCCGGAAAAATTGTTGGCACTGCATCATCACAAAGCCTAACTACATCAAGAGTTTTATTAATAGATTCCTTTGCAAAATGCAGGGAACATATGAAGTTTTGTTTATCTGTTGGGTTGATATTTTCTACACCAATAGAGTCAAGCCATATTTGTCTTTTCTTTTTGTTCTTTGGCAACCTAGAAATGATAGAACAGAAAATAATGATTTAGATCTATGAAGCTGCAAATAATATTACAAATTAAACAACACCATGGTTGTTATAAAAGGTGACTTAAGGTAAATTATAAATATGTATATGCTAAACATTTATGTATATTGCATTATTAGAAGGCACTGATGGGCTAATATATACAATATATAAGTAAACAATATATAATAAAGTCAAGTAATAATGTCCATAGTCTGAGGTATTTGCATGTTTGCCTACAGAGAGAGATTACTTACAGGCGCTAGATTGTACTTTATGTAATCTTTGTTGCTTTGCTTCACTTTTATTATGTAGGTACCGTAGGTCCTACCATGAATGTAACTCCGTTTCCGTATAATTTAGTTAATCATTTATGCTCACTGCTCAGACCCATGACACCGAAATAATGCAATGCATAACGCAAAACTTTTGCACATAATACGACAGAATAAATCAAGAAAACCTTAATAAAGTATGTCCTTGAAAGAATGTATTGTTAAGCAATGTAACATCACTATTTACGAACAACAAAATTTTATAGATACGCAAAGAATGATAAGAAGTAATTAAATAATATGAATTAAAGGTTTAGGGTAAATAATTACATCCATCTACTTACTGTCGCAAAAGATATAAACGTTTTTACATTATATTTACACCAAAAACTAAATCACTCACCTATGAAATGATAGTTCGTGTGATTTTTGACTATATTTTGAGGTACAGCCTCTTACGCAACACTTAGTCATCTTCGTTCTTTATAATGAATTGGAAAATTCACTATAAACTGTTTAAAAATTCGCAAAATTTTCAAATTAAGAAATATCAAACGACTTCTTATAGCAGCAAATCTGAGACAATAAAGGTGGCGGAATCGGCCGCAAGGCAGGGTTAAATGACGTCATCTTAAAAATGTTTACCAGAATGCGAAACAATTTCTATTATCTGTTTCATTTATGAATGACACTTAGACTTACACTTCGCTGAGTGAAAAAGAGATAGGCAGCATATTGACAGTTCAGTGTCGAATATAACCATATTTGTATAATCAATAAAACATATAGACGCTCTGGGCAGCTCCTCTATTGTCTATGCTCAAAGGTTACGACTAGCTTGCTACATATTTATTTATCTATGGTTACGAACAAAGACAAACAAACATCACCTAATTTTTGCAGTTTTGCTGAGTTTTGCACATACGCTAGTAGTGGGAACTGTGGGAACGATATGGAGCTTATGTCTAATAATGAAACAAAAGTCGCTGTTGATAGTAATAAAACAGAGGTTAAATCCCCTTTACTTCAATTTGAAAAACAAATTTTTTCAGACGTGCAAGAAAAAGATGGTCTTTTAATTATGGCAAAGTATGCATTGAAACTGATTGAAACTAAATAGTACAAAGAATATTCACGGTAAATTATGAATTTAAAATTAAAATTTTAATTTTAGGGGTATAAATTACAATAGAATATTAGAAAATATTATATGGATTTATAAGGATCCTGGTAATTTAGTTTTAGTTTTAAATAGTAGCGATGAAGAAGAAAAGTATTTTACGACAAAGTTTAAGTTAACTTCCCTAGCAAGCAATGGAGCTGAAAGGTAAAAAAAATTTCTTAATTTCTTCATGTTTAATCCTTAAATTAAATTTGCCCTAATGTAAGTTCTGCTCAAAGTTTTAATGACAATGAAGCATGTTTTTATTTACCCATGATACTTAGGTTTTTATTCAATATGTGTCTTATTGTATTATGTTTCTGGAAAACTGCATGATCCAGTGTGGGCAAACAGCCTTGGAGCAGCCATACAATGTGGTTTGTTCTTTATTCAAAGAATGTGATCAAGCTACAACGTCAATCTGCTGCGTCAAGCTTCTACGTCAAACCTCCTCCTTTGCCAAGACAAGGCGGGAACTTGATTTGGGGAATGCAATGACAGCCTAGCACTACTAAAAAACAGTTTTTAATTTTATTTTATGGCCAGGTCAGGACTTGCAATACACACTTAGGATTTATAAATATGGCTTGACCTTATTTTTAATTGTCATCTACTTCACCCCTCCATTGAAATAAAAAGCCTATATAGCTAGGCTTTTCTAAAAGCCTAGCTAGGCTAGGCTTTTTATTTAATATCACAGCACTGATATTGTGTCAATAAACCAGAACTTTCCTGCCTGATTTAAAAACTTCATGTAACAGAGGTCAATGCATTAACTGCCATATTATATTTATTCAAGTTTCAATACCTCGTTTTACCTTGTGGTCCTAAATGTATTTCTGATTATAAGTTTGTGGTTTAGAATCCTGGGTTGGGCCTATAATTAGTTGCTGGGTTTTTCTGTCAAGAAAATCTCAGTAGTAGCCCAGAGAAGTTAAGAAAGCCTGTGATGTTTCCCTGTGTCATGGAAAGCATAAAAGTGGTTCTGTGCCTAAACTCTGATTGTGTTGGATTACTGCTCAATCAAATTATGAAAGTAAAGGAACAGAGGGTGCACATGTTTTTACACATACTCGGGCACCATAATCCTGTCTTGAACAATTGGCTAATCTCTGGCAGCAGTGACTGAAATTCAGTCTTTTTTTATCAATTATGTAGTAGATATTCTTATGCTGCCATTATATGCATGCTCATCTGAAGTTGATGTTAAATTTAAAAGTTAAAATTGATTATACAGCTTTGTCATTTTTAACTACTTTTTGAATTACTGCATACTTTTGCCAATGTTTTTGTATTTTAATTCAATTTAATTTATTTGAGCTAAAATCATCATCATCATCATCATCAGCAGTGGACTTGTGATGGGCTGTACCATCACAAGTCCACTGCTGAACATAAGCCTCCCCCAAGTAACGCCACAAAGCACGGTCCTGAGCCACCTGCATCTATCGACTTCCTGCATAACTGCATATCTTACCAGGTTGTCACTCCATCTAGTGGGGGATCGCCCTACACTACACCTACTGGTACGAGGCTGCCACTCGAGAACCTTTTTTCCCCATCGGTTATCAGTTCTTCGAGCTATATGGCCGGCCCATTGCCCTTTTAGCTTACTAATCCATTGGGCTATGTCGGTCGCTCTGGTTTTACTGCAGATATTCTCATTTCTGAGTCTGCCACGCAGAGAAACTCCGAGCATAGCCCTCTCCATAGCTCGCTGAGCAACTTTGAGCGTCCTCATATGGCCAGCAATGAAGGAACATGTCTCAGATCCGTAAGTCATCACTGGCAACACACACTGGTTGTACAATCTAGTTTTCAGAGATGAGGTATACTTGACAGAAGACGGTCATTCCCGAACTGAACTAATGCAGCATTTTATTGCAAAAACATGTGAAATGCTATTTCAAACGATACTTGGTATTGGATCCAGTTTAATAATATAGATGATTAATTTGTAGAATAGGTGCATATTTCTTAATATCATTGTTTTCAATGCACTTGTCAGAAGTTAACTGGAATGCAATAGTTAAATTTGGAATCCAATGTATAAGATGCTTATAGTACATATTCAAGTGTACAAAAAGATTTTTGTTCAACAACTTTGTGTAAAGCTTCCTGGAGCAACTAAATCTGGAAACATTTAAGAACAGGCAATAAATAAACAATGTTTGCTTTCTTTTTATAGTTATAAGCTATAATGTGCATTGTCCTGAATTTCTGAAATGTATACTGATTAAACAAGAATTCTAGATTAAGCACATCCCTTTATATACAATATTTGCATCCCTTTATATACAATATTTGTCTCTTAGTGAGATGAGTTTATAGGTAATTTCAAAAAACAAATAATTGTGTATGTAGACAAATTACATTTATGGATCACTAACAATCCGCCCCGGCTACGCACAGGTAGTATCTGGATCTCGACAACGCCACCACTTACCAGGTCCAAATGTGAATATAAACTATCTTGGGGATATAACCCATTTAGACACACACAAAAAATTTATCAAAATCGGTTGGATGGTTTCAAAGTCTATAACAGACATAGGTAGAAACATTTTTGTGTTTTATATAGATAAATTGGTCTTTAAAGTATATGTTATGGAATTTTTAAAATGCAACATTCAAGTATTTGCATATATTACATTATGTATGCATGCACACATTATGTACATAATGTGTGTTATTTTATAAGTATTTTTCCTTAATTTTTTATTGTTTTTAATAATTGTGCAATCACAAATGCTGTGCTCATATGTAAGTAGGGTCATAATTTACTGTTTTATATATAATCCAGTTTTATATTTGCTCTATTGAGGTATTTTTATGAATAAATAAAAAATTACATCATTTATATATTTATTTATTAATCTTTATTAATAAATAAATATATAAATGATGTAATTTTTCATGCCTTTGCATGCAAGTTGAACTTTTTATTTCCAGACTTTTAAGGCTCTTTACAGCACCCATGGTCACATGGGGTCAATATCATTAGGAGTCCCCCCCGACTGAGGTGATTGGCATCGGAAATTGCAGATCTCTGAAGTTGTTGTCACCTTGAGTTCCCTTTATTGTCTTTCTAATTTTTCTACTTTTCAAAACCAAGCCTATGCTGGCTTATTTCGTCATTCTATCTATTATCCATTATGCAGATGTATGTTACCCAGATCTGTGACAAAATCAATTTCGTTTTAAGAAAGTGCTGACGATGAACAAAATCCATTGGGCCATTCATATTTTTGTACCCTATAAGGCAGCGGGACCTGACGGCTTATTCCTGGCACTTCTATAGTGGGGGGGTGGGGTAAAGTCCTAATAGTCAGACTTGTTTCCATAATGAGAGCATATCCGGCTCTTAAATATAGGTGGTGGTAAAGGTAGGTAGGTAGGTAATAAGGTAAAATACTTAGGTCTTACCTTGGACAGTAAACTTAACTGGAATAAACACATAGAAAACAAAATTAACAAAGCTAGTATAACTTTCTGGCAATGCAGAAACATGATTGGCAAACGATGGGGTTTGACAACAAAAATTATACTGCGGTTGTACAAAACTGTAATTCGGGCCATGATCACATATGGCTCTCTGGTATGGTGGACCAAAACTAACAAAGCCACCACTGTACGAAAGCTTCAGCGTTACCAGAGATTGGCTTGTATGGCTGCCATGGGCTGCATAAGAACTACACCAACAGCAGCTTTAGAGGCTATACTGGAGCTAACACCGCTTCATTTACATATACAACAAGAAGCAACTTTAGCTGCCATTAGACTCAAGACCCTATATCTTTTAAGTAAGAGTAGAGTCCCCCATACAGGTGTAATTGATAGAATTTATATGAGTGCCATCAGCGATTGAATGAGGTATGAAAGCACAACAATGTGACTCTGCAATGGATCAAGGGACACAGTGGATCTAGAGGCAACAATGCAGCAGATGAACTGGCCAGAAAGGGTTGGCTCTGGCAATTATAGGACCGGAACGTATAATACCAATCCCCTTTGGCTACATTCATTCACTGGTACGTAGATACTTCAATCATTTACACGCTCAGCTTTGGAAAAATTTAGTAGACTGTAGACAAGCTAGGGAGGCCCTGCCTGAAATAAACAGTCTAACCAAGATTTTAATGAGACTGAACAAGCCACAGATCAGGATAGTAACAAGCGCTATCACAGGACATGGCTCTTACAAACATTTGTTTACCATAGGTATTACTGATAGCCCCCTGTGCAGAACATGCATGGGAGAGGAAGAAACGGCGGCTCACGTGTTGCTGACATGTCCAGAAGTCGCTTCATACAGGGCTAAACATCTCGGCATGCTGGGATCGCTCCCCGAAGTTGCTTGCAACATCAAAGGACTGTTGAACTTCTTCGGGGAAACATCATGGCTCGAATAACCACATTATTCCTGCCCACACACAAAATACGCGCTTGGACGTGGAGTTGCAGAAAACAGCCCGTCGTAAACTAAACTAAGAAAGTATGACCACATATCTTCCTATTGTTTGAAACCTAAATGGCTACTTATATGTCAAATGAGATGCGTCCAAATTTCACTTGTACTTTATTCAACTTTAAACGATCCAAGGTCGCTTCTTATCTTAAGAATAACTTACATTTTGTTCCTTCGGTAGGCGGCCGAACATCAGGACAATCAAACTGTCTCAGGATTAGTATTCCACAGCACAGGTCTATTTTTTTCAAATCTCTCTATTATATACATAATTGGAATACTCTTCCTAATGATATTGTTGCGCGCCATAGTTGATACCGGAAATGCCATTAGCGCCATTACTGTTTCAAGTAGCGGAAATAGGAGCGTCAAGATCTTTCTAGAACTTTTCCACTAGCGTCATCGAGTGGCGAGGGCTTTCTGGAGAATTCTTTGCTGGAACTTTCGACATTCTACTCGAACATTCTAGACGTTTTCGGTGGAAAAGGTCCTATATAAAGTCGGTAGGAAGCGCGACCGGGGCAGTATTGAATTGGCGATACGAGTGAAGACTATGGAGCGAAGTAAAGTTTTAAGTGTGATTAATTATTAGTGTGTTTTAAGTTTTAATTGGTGTTCGGTAATTAAAGTGTCAATTTTGGTAATTCAATCGGCAGTTTTTACTGTCACGATCCCTAAGCTCGTAACAATTGATGTC